ACAGGACAAAGATGAAGAGTATGCAAGTGGTTATACTGATAAGGAGCTCAGGGAAGTCACAGAGGCCCCTCTATGGCAAAATGTGCACATTTCAAAAGGGCGGATAGACAAAAAACATTCAGAGGCACTATAGAGGGATTCATGCTGTAATTAGAAGAGAACTGTTAATTGGAGAGTTATAAACCCTGCAGACAGACAGCTTGTTTTCATCAACATTACCATTATGGAATTGCTCTTGATACTTCATGAAATCACTCGTCCGCTGAAAGAAGTTAAATTTAACCAACTCTGTACTACTTTGCCTGGACTGACATTGTTTCAACAGCACTAACATCCCCCTATTATAGCAAAGAAATACACTCAGGGCAGGCATCCAGCGCAGAGGCAGCCAGAGGAATTTCTCTTGATCCAACCTTTGCATTCAGATGTTTTGTTAGCTAGCAATTACTGGTAGATCTAGCAGGTGCTCTTCCCGCCACATATTGCAGAAGCCAAGCATGTTTGTAAAGTTCAACGTAAACCTAGTCTCCGAAATGAGTAGAAAACCAAGATTAGGCTGAAAACACAGATACCATTGAGAACATTGACCCAGTGCCCTTTCTCTCAAGGTCAGTTTGGGGGTCATCAATCATATTATTCATGCAGGCCTTTATTTTCTGGAGGTGAGTAAGAATGCTTTGTGTTACTCATTATATTAAACAGTTATTAATAGCTTGATCCCGCAGCGTCTCACTGTACCAGCTGACTCTGAGCCCATGTGGTCTTTTTCAAATATGTATCCTGATCAGCACCCATCAGACCGCAAATCCTGAGGAAATGTATTGTCTTTTTTTAGAGCCCTATCCCCATGATGGAGCAATGCTGTATCCATCAGGGCTCAAACAACAATGCCCTGGGGTCAGGACACATATGGATGAATGACGAAAGCTGCCACGTCCACATGGGGCTGTGCGAGGGCGATGGCTACGCTGATGGCTGCCTCCGTTTATGCGTTATGTGATCAGTAAAGCAGTATAGGTTCCTCTTTTGTCTGACAGCCAACAGAAAATGTATAAGCCTGAGTGGTAGCAGTTAGCAGCCTCTCTGCTTCTGCTGCTGCGTGGTCCTCTCAAACAGAGCCAGCGCAGCATCTCGGCTGCATGCAGCTTTCCTGAGGTGGCACAATGCTGCAGAGCTGAGTGAACTTTCTGGCCAAAGCAGTTTTCTCCTCTTTAAGCTTGTCGCCTCAGCAAGTGGAGCAGCACTGCAGCACATTAAGGGAATACAGACTTAAGCCTAGCATAGCTGGCCTTTGTACTTATTAATCCATATTTGTTTGACATGTGTTGTTTAGTGGGCTCTGACATTTTAAATCTTTAATTACTTCCTTTAACACAGCAAAACAGGAAAAAATGCTTTATTCCGGACCACAGGAATACGTTTAATCATTACACCTAATCTATCCATGTGATGTTTGTCAGCAAAAAAACTTTACCTGTATCACTTTCCTGCAAAGCTATCTTACCATTCCTTCAGAGGAAAATGTCTTTGTCCCTTCTTTAGGCCAAATCTCACACCCCAAAAATAATCTGGAAGGGAAATTCCCTGTGGGATTAGAGAACATTCAAGGGAAACACCTTCGGCTAAAGGCAAATAAAGAAACTGTCACTCAACACTGATTTTTTATTTTAGACCGTGCTCCTTGAGGCGGGTAGTAACTCATCAAAAAATCAAACGCACTGGTCAGTCCCATCTCAGTTATCTGGCTAATTTGACTCTGTAGAAAATCACTGAAACATCAACATTTTGGATGGAAGAGGTCAAACGTTAGCCCCAATGAGATGCTCTCAACCGTTCCCATTTACAAACTCCCTCAGGCTTCAACTGTCCAAAGATCAAGCGTCCCATCGTTAAATACAAAGTTTCCCCTTTGTGTATCCCATACCACTGAGGACAAAAAGCAAAACTAGACTTCTGAAAAAAACTATCTTGCCAACAGTTTTCAGAACAACCATCAAGACAAACGCACCAATAACAAACGCTTACAGCCTCGTCTTTGCTGCTGTAGTTTTGGTTTCCTGACAGTTTGTACACCAGCAGGTTATTGCCATTAACTCTATCTATTGTTCTCGACCTTGATGAGATAAAAGTATGATGTAACGAGTATTATTCCTGTTTTTACAAAAGAACACAGATCGTCGCAGTGCCAAAACTGAGAGCATTGTTTTTTTATTGTGTTTTTAAAAACACATTTTATAACAAAATAATAAGAGGTTAGTATAGGTTTTTAAAGAGAATAACTCACATGAATGATTTCTCCGCAGGTTGAATGTGCTATGAAGAATCTGTAAAGTATTGGTATAGGGACAATTCAGTGGTAGCTGGATATTGGGGGGGGGCATTTCCTCAAGTCCCTTGCTAATTCTAAGCCTTAAGCCTTTGGATATAAGGAAAAAAAACTTCTACTTTCCCTTTCTGTCTCCTTTGGCAGCTCGTATTATAGTCCACTGGACTGAAAAAAGATACAGCACCGCCACAAAATCGTCATAATGCCGGGATAGCAGTAGCAAATGAAATTTGAAGGAGGTGGTCGCATCAGGAAAAACTCTTTATTATTCTTGACCTTAATAAGCTGAAACTGTTTATGTGATAAGTATTTTTGCTTCTTTTTTTTTTTTCCAGGTAAAGCATACTCAATGTCAAAGTGCCAAAATTGATGACAAACCAAACTTTGTCTGTAAACAACAACATCATAAAAAGGTTCAAACAAGATGTGTAATGTGATATATTGTTACTTTATGCATTGAGCTATCAGGTCTACTGTTTCAGTGTAACACTAGAGGTACAGTTGCTTTTACTATACTACCACTGAGATCAACCTTATACCAACGCTTTCTGTCAGTGTTGTGGCTTATTTTGAGATTTCGCAGATATTGTGTGGGCCAGAAAAGTTTGATATGATTTCAGCACAGGAAGGACTCTTATCTGTGAGCGAAAACTAGAGAGAGTGACAAAGTGAATTATTAATGACAACGCACCTGTGAGAAAGACTCAGAAACTTGACTGCGACCATCATCTGAATTGGAACCCGCTCTAAATCATTAAAGAAGCCAGGGGTAATTTTTTTGGGATTAGTTCTTTAAATGGCACTCAAAGAAACGTGGAATGAGAGAAGCAGAGAGGAAAATACAGTTTTGAGGGTGATTTATGGTCCTGCATGGAGCCTCTCTTCTGTGTGCCTTTCCTTTGCTCTCTGTGTTGGTGTTTTCCGAGGACAAGGCTGATCTCCTTCACTACACACACACACACACACACACACACACACACACTCACAAACACAGAAACATGCAGCGGACAGCTGAGCAGAGTCTGCACAGGAGAGAGTTAAAGACTGTACATGCAGTCAAACTATGAAAGTTGAAAATGCCTCTTCAAGAGATCGAAACCTCACAAAACGAAGAGATAGTCAAACTCTTATTGTTCTAAAGATAAAGATTAAAACGGATCTTCTGAGTTAAGTGATTTATTGTTTGAGTAATACGAGTTAAGTCTTGTATGACTTATTCACCCCCCCACCTGCTCACTTCATGGCCAATGCTGTTTTTTTTTTTACACAACCCTACAGAAGGATTTCCAAAAGGCACGACTTCTGACAGAAAGGCTTTGCGCCAAAAAGCCCTGAAGACAAACCTCCCCCATAACCTCCATGGTAACAGTACACAATGCCAAACAGCCCACACAATATAAAAATAATGTGTAAAAAAAAAAAAACTTTTGGAAAAGGTAGCGCTACCATACAGATACGACTCCAGCATCGGCACATTAAGATTAAGTCAATGTATTAGTTAAATAACTGATAGTTACACAGAATATTGGAAACACTTTGAGAATGAGAAAGGAGACCAATGCATTCTTATACTGTACGGATTTTACTGAAGGTGTTTGGATCATAATAACCAAAAGAGCTTTTCAAATTGATTATTGTTGGATTATGCATTTGGTTTTAGTACACGGGGAGTAAGTAATAAGAGGAGTGCATCCTTGACACACAACTATAACTACTTTGGAGAATTTCTGCAGGAAAGGCGCCACTTAAAGAGACGCTGGTTGGCTTTATCTGAGCAATGTGTGTGTGGGGGGAAAAATTCAAAGCTTAATCAAAAAAAAAAAAATGTAAAAAGAGAGAGAAATGAGCACATAGTGAGTTATCATATAAACTGACTTTCCTTCATTGCAGAGTATTCACAGGTTGGGATGCGATGTAGGATTCTCCCACTCTGTTTTTTTATCAAATGCAGAAATGGTTACAGCAATATGATATTTCATCTTTGATTTAATTTTTGTTTTTGTTTTTGTTTTTCCTTTGAGGTAAGTCCAGGAGTTGACTGACTTTCTATGTATTCAGTGGCTTCTTTTTAAGGCAGGCATTACCAAAATAGCTGTCACAATGCTGCAGCACTAAAACAACCCTCTCCTAGAAACCTTGTGCTCTGTGTAAAAACGTAGCCTACTTTCTCCAGCCTCTCTGCTCGCAGGTCCGATGGAGCTACTGCGACCCAATGTCTAACAACACATTATCTGAAGGCTGCAACACACACACACACACACACACACACACACACACACCTGCATACAGATAACCTCACACTTTCATAATGCTGCAGCAGTTAGCATAGCCCAAAAATATCACTGCATGTCTGTGAACTGTACATGATGCGGTCTCCCGGGAAGACCTTCACAAGCACCACTGACAGGGCAAAGCTGAGGTAAGATGACAGCCATAAATCCCACCGCCGTGCTGCATAACGTTACACACAGCGTCATTTCACACAGCTAGAAGTGCATATTATGCTGAACAACAAGATGACATTTTGACTGCTGAATACAAAAAGGTCTGATCTGTCCTAGAGGATTACCAGCCTAATATTACATAAACACAACCGGAATCATATTAGCAACCCCGTTTGTTTCATCCTCCGCAGCCCCTTAAAAAAAAATAACAAGCTAACAAGCCTACTCACGGGTTGTGACGGAAAGTTTGACTGTCCGGGGCAGGTTGTAGTCTTCTCCGGGCACTTCACTTCAAAACAGACACGACTGTTTTTTCCCTCCGTGTCGTCGCTTGCGGTGGAGAGCAAAAAAAAAAAACCCGAGCACAGGGTTGGCTGTGAAGCGGTTGTATGGTCGCATGTACTGCAGTGCTCCCTCGCAGTCTGCTGGTCGGCCTTCTTCTTCTGCTGGATGTGCTCACGCGACGCCTGTCTCGAGGTACGCGTCTGCGCCGCCCTGTGGTGCGGAGCTGCCACTGGTGCTCGCCGGCGGCCCCTCGCAGGACCAGTGTCACGCAAAGTTAAAGGGAACAGTCATTAACGCTGACTTTGTAATACAGCAATAAGTAATATAGCCATAATGAGTAAGGTATTTTTACCTGCTTTTTGTAACATAATAATAAGTAAGGTCTTTTACCTGCTTTTTGTAACATAATAATGAGTAAGGTCTTTTTACCCGCTTTTTGTAACATAATAATAAGTAAGGTCTTTTACCTGCTTTTTGTAATATAACAATAAGTAAGGTCTTTTACCTGCTTTATGTAACATAACAATAAGTAAGGTCTTTTACCTGCTTTTTGTAACATAACAATAAGTAAGGTCTTTTACCTGCTTTATGTAACATAATAATAAGTAAGGTCTTTTACCTGCTTTTTGTAACATAACAATAAGTAAGGTCTTTTACCTGCTTTTTGTAACATAATAATAAGTAAGGTCTTTTACCTGCTTTTTGTAACATAACAATAAGTAAGGTCTTTTACCTGCTTTTTGTAACATAACAATAAGTAAGGTCTTTTACCTGCTTTATGTAACATAACAATAAGTAAGGTCTTTTACCTGCTTTTTGTAACATAACATTAAGTAAGGTCTTTTACCTGCTTTATGTAACATAGCAATAAGTAAGGTCTTTTACCTGCTTTTTGTAATATAACAATAAGTAAGGTCTTTTTACCTGCTTTTTGTAACATAGCAATAAGTAAGGTCTTTTACCTGCTTTTTGTAACATAATAATAAGTAAGGTCTTTTTACCTGCTTTTTGTAACATAGCAATAAGTAAGGTCTTTTTACCTGCTTTTTGTAACATAGCAATAAGTAAGGTCTTTTACCTGCTTTTTGTAATATAATAATAAGTAAGGTCTTTTTACCTGCTTTTTGTAACATAGCAATAAGTAAGGTCTTTTTACCTGCTTTTTGTAACATAACAATGAGTAAGGTCTTTTTACCTGCTCTTTTGTAATGTTAACAGACAAAGAGTAAGGTATTTTAAGTAAAGTGTCTCGAGATAACACTTGTTATGAGTTGACGCTGTACAAATAAAAATTGAAATTGATTTATTGACTTCCACAATGGAAACTCAGATAAAAACTCAACCCTGAGGATGTCGGAATTGGCTTTAAGGCTTTACCTTTGGATTTAATCATATAAATCCCCCATACTCAGGGGTGGCTGGTATAAACGACCTCCCTTTATTTTACAATTAAGATGAGAAAAACATTCTCCTAAGATCTAACAAGAGATTGTTTTAAAATGTTGGTTAAACCTTACGGAGCAACCGAGGCTAATAGTTACAAGAACAACAAACAATAGCTCTAAATGGGCTTATTTTATAGCACAAGAAATGTACTCAAGCGGCAGCCTCTGGTGCTGAAATATGAAGCCAATGTGGAAGTGCAAAAGATAGCAGTTCCTCCATTGTCACCTTGAGGCTGGCTGCAAATGCCCTAGAAGTAACAACACCTTTATTAAAATGCCCATATTTACAGTTGGCATACACATGTTTACATGTTTATCCCTTACTAGACTTTCAGGTAGGCCTGTATGTGTCTACATGTTTTTCTTTCTGTCACACTGCTTGGGGGCTGGGAGAACAGCATTTTGTCTTTTTCATGTGTGCAGATACATGAGAAAAATGACAAAACAAAAATGGAATATTGAATCTTGGTAACAGTTCATGTGTTTTTTGTACACAGTGTATGGAGGGTGATTTTGTTTTACTCATCTAGTTTGATTTTATGAAGAATAAGAGTTATTCATAATTACATGCGTCACTGATATGTCTGCAAGCGAGTGAGTTGTAGCTATTAACCTGGAGGCTGAGAAGGCCCGCCTGCTACTCTATAGGCTGACTAAGGTTAGGTTGAGACCAAAAGCAGTACAAATTGTAGAGATGCTGAGAAACTATCCTAAACTGTCTTAACTGAATACATGATCTGTGTTTGGTGCCCTTACTGTTAAAGGCAATTTGTAATATTTTTCAACAAGACATCAGGAATACTGTTCACTATCTGCCTTAATGGTCTACATTTATGCAGGTTATCTGCTGTTAAAATGTTTGGCTATTTTTGCAGAGTTTTTTTTTTTCTTCTTCAAAATCATAAAGATGTTAGAAATATTTTAAAGGACTAAAACATCTTAAATAGCTTTAAAATACATTTATTTTATTCTTAAACTCATACCAAACAAATGAGGAGTAAATCTCCACAATATTTTGCTCATGTATATCACTTTGTATATGGAGACATGTGAACATGCCAAGAATTTCAGTTTGCACTTCTTGTACAAAATTTAACATTCAAACAAAATCCACTATTTAAAGCATGAAAAAAAAAAAAATCAGAGCTGACGGTCCACACCAAACTTCTATGCTTGGCTTTTACTACTGCCGGTAAGAGCATGTCAGCTTTGCATTTAATTCCTTTAACTTTTTAACTTATATCCTTCTATTTTTCAAAACTATTGGTCCAGAAAGTAAATCAGAAAACACACTCACCCCCCAGTAACTTATATGGGTGCTGAATCCTCAACAAAAACATTTTTGATAGTATTTGTGGGACAGCACACCAAAATCTTAAATGTGTATATCTTTTTTGTGTATGTAGATGTATCAGACAAAGCCCGTCTTCAGTGGCTTAAGGCAAACAAACTCAGACTCAAAGTATTAACCCCAATGGTCTGTTTGTTATTACAGACGGTGTACTGAATGCAAAACATGTATTTTTAATGAGATTTGCTTTTAAATATACAGTCTTTAAAAATACAGCTACACAACGGCTATGTGTTTGAAAGCAGACATATGAAAATAAACTTTAAAAGAAACAGCATTTGATTTAAGCCTCTGCTGCATTTATGCTTTTTCAATCAATGATTATGATTTAAGCCACAATAATTCTTGCAATATCCTCTTCTTAAATACAGTATATCTTACATACAACATTTTGAATTATGTTTTTAGGAACAATATCTTTTATGTAAAAACAAAATCTAGTATGTGTGCCACATGAAGCGTCTGTGGCATCATTATTTGATTTTAAAGTTAAGAAAACGCAGAATTCTGTGTTGAATCTTTTTCAGTTTCAAACCATAGATTAAAGGATTCATAATTGGAGGTATGATAAGAAACTCTATAGCGATATAGTTTTGGACGGTTTGAGGTAAATCCTTTGAACCGTATCGCATATACATATTATCCAACAGTACAGTCACAAGGAAAGTGAGCAGGGAGGCTAAATGTGGCACACATGTCTGCATGAACTTTGCCCTGTTTTCTACAGAATTCACACATGTTTTGATGAGATACATGTAGGACCACACTATAAATGCACCGTGAAGTACGTAAAATATTATCGTTATATAAGCCACAATGTTGTTCAGAGTAGTGTCAGCTGGGTAACATGTAAGCAAGACAATAATCCAATTCACACAAAACAGCCTGGCAATATGACGACCGCACAGCTTTAATCTAGAAGTTAGAAAGATGTTCGCTGATATGATGCAAAAAGGTGTAATCACAGAGAAACACACTAACTTGACCAGTCTCTGCTTGGACATGAGGGAGTGATACTGCAGCGGTCGACATATAGCCAAGTATCTATCGTACGCCATCACTGCTAGAATAGAGAGATCACTGCAGGCAAAGGAGTACATCACTAGAGCCTGGATGAGACATCCAGAGTATGAGATAACATGAACTGGAGACAACAGATCCCAGAGAAACTTAGGATAGAAACCAGATGACCCATAAAGGCCGTTCATACAGAATGTGCACAACAGAATATACATTGGTTCATGCAGAGTTTTATCAATGATGATGGTCACAATGAGAATAGAATTGATCACCAATATCATACAGTAACAAAGTAAAGTGAGAAAGAAAATAATAAAGCGGTAGTTCCTTGTCTCACTTAAACCTGAAAGAAAAAACATTGACGATACATTATCCATCCTGGCAGGTGAATTATGTTCTCTTTTTCCCTCTTTGAGGGATAACTCTGTCTCTTACGGTCTCAGTGCACTCTTTTCTTCTTGCTGGTATTCATATTTTGTCCGCCCACATTAACACACCTACCAATCATTAGAGGTTTCATGGTCACCTAGTAACAAACTGTAAACACTAAACAAAATGAACAACAATACAACTCACTTAGACTTAGACTTTCTTTATTGTCATTGAAATTGTACCTTACAGTGCAGATAAGAACAACATTTTAATGCAGTGTGCTTGTTATAGTGCAGGATAAAGAAAAAAACAGCAGCAAGTATTTACATAAGAATAAGGTGCAGACATAAATAGGTATAATAATGAAACTATGTATACAATTTCTATAAAGATATCAAATATATTTCACAAAATGTGTACTGTTAAATTTCATTGCACAGTCCAGTGAGGTAGTCCTGTGTGCAGGTTTGAAGGGGATGGAGGGCTTATTATTTTGCGTTCAATAGTCTAACCCCCAATTCACACATACTCGCGCACCCATGACACATCACAGGAGAACTACAAGATCAAGAAAAACATGCAAACAACGTGTTGCTTTGTCCTTCTGAAGATGAATTGTTGTTCATTCAGTTCCTGTTTTGACGTAATGTTGATAAAGTAATGAAAAATACTAGGGAGCATTTTAAATGCCTAGAGTTTGAACTGAATTCAAACTTGGAGTGCACTGAATGTAATTCTGTCTCCTAACATGAAATTTAATATTGCTGTGCTTTACAATCCTCCATCACATGATGTACATTTCTATAATGAACTGAAGAAGCTTCTTTCTGTTGTTGACAACTCTTGTGAATGTATGTTGTTTGGGGATAAAAAGCCAATTATGGAGAAATTTAAATACAAACAGCTGGTTGATAGACCAACTCGAATCACAAGAAAGACTGAAACCCTTATTGATCTAATTTTTACAAATAGACCAGAGAGAGTAATAAAAATATACAATCTCATCACTGGCCTTTCGGACCACAACATGACACTGATGGTAAGAAAGCTAACTAGAAAACGCCTAATCCACCACAATAAAACAGAAAATCTAATTTTAACAACAGCAATTCCCAAGTCAAAAATAGCTGACTTTGAACATGATTTGAAGGAAGTCAACTGGGAACAGGTAACTAAAGAATCAGATCTAAACCACAGTGCAAACATTTTGCCTCTACCCTATGTGAATTATTAAATAAGAAATACTCTCTTACATGGATTAATAGTGATGCGAGCTCTTGCTCTTAAAAGGTCTCTAATAACTAAAAACAATACTGACCACCTTATTTATACTGGCTTGAGGAACAAAGTGGTGTCTGAACTGCGGAAGGCCAAGACAAATCACTTCTCCAAACTCATTGAAGAGGCCAGTGGCAGTAGTTCTAAATTGTGGCAACACATAAACAAACTAACTAACTAACTCCAGTAAGCAAAAGCACCCCAAAATAAACTGTCTTAAAGTCTGTGATAATTTAATTCATAGTAACGAGTCTATTGCAAATGTTTTTCATAGGTTTTTTATTGAGAGTGTACAAGAGTTAACGAGTCATTTCAAAACTACAGAGTCATCCTGAAGAACCTGACCATGATCGCACAGACTCCTTTTGTATTAAAGTGGTATCACATGACAAAGTTAAAAAGATGATTTTGAACATGAGTAACTCCATGTCAGAGGATATTCATAACCCTCATGCTGCATTAATCAAAAAACACCAGAGCTATTTGTTGGAGCCTATTACTTACTTAGTTAACCTGTCAATACAAACAAAAAAAATTCCCAGATAGCTGGAAAACTGCAATAATTACCCGTTTTAAAATCAGGAGACAAGGACATAGCAAGTAATTACAGGCCTATTGCTATTCTCCCTGTAGTCTCAAAGATTCTGGAGAAGATTGTAGCTGAGCAATTGATGGAACATTTAGAGTCTAACCAATTGCTTCATCCACAGCAGTTTTGGTTTAGACAAAAATATTCCACTGAAACAGCAAACTGCTATTTGCTTGAAAATATTAAAGCTCCACTGGATAAAGGAAATGTTGTCGGCGCAGTGTTCTTGGACCTGAAAAAGGCCTTTGACACTGTCAATCACACTATTTTACTGAATAAATTAAAGCAATTCCAAATGTCATCAGAAGCTCTGCAGTGGTTTAAATCTTACCTGGGGGGGAAACAGCAATGTGTTAGGGTCAATGGAGTGAAGTCTCATCTGTACAGTATGGGAGTACCACAAGGGTCTGTACTTGGTCCACTGTTGTTCTCAATGTACATCAATGACCTACCAAACTGCTGTCCAGGCACCAACTGCCAGATGTATGCAGATGATACCGTTATCCATGTGTCCACTAAAACAGCTAGCTTAGCAGGTGAACACCTAACAGAGGCATTACGTAATGTTTCCAAATGGCTTGAGTTGTCTCATTTAACTATTAATGTTAAGAAAACTGTTGCCATGTGCTTCTCCATATGTAATAGATCTGGAAACGATGTATTTGAGGTACAGATTAAGAATGAAGCAATTGAAGTAGTAAAAGAAGTTAAATATCTAGGCATCATCATGGATGAGAATTTAAAATTTGACAGTCAGGTTAAGTACATTGTGAAGAAGGTCAAACCAAATCTAAATTGTTTTCGTTTTATTAGAAGGGACATTTCTTGTCAAACTGCCAAATTATACATGCATGCAATGATTTTTTCACATCTGTCATATTGCATCACATCATGGTCCCAAACTTCTCCAACTAAATTAAAACCTATTGTTTCTTTATATAAGCAGACAATAAAAGTCATGGACCAGAAACCTATGAGATGGCATCACTGCGGCATTTAAAAAAAACACAACGTTTTCACCTTTGACAATTTTATGAATTTTAGTAATCTTAAACTGTTTTTTAAATGTGTAAATAATCATATGTCACCACTGTTATCTGAATTAGCCATTAGGCGTCAGAGCTCTCGTAGGGCAGTCACACGAGCCTCCATCAGCGGTGATTGTCTTGTCCCAATGTACAAGACATCTTTTGGCCAGTCTGCTTTCTCTGCAAAGGGGGCACAACTTTGGAACTCTCTGCCCTCTGGCATAAAATTAGAGAGCAACAGTAATGCTTTTAACAGAGGACTCAAACAATGGCTAAAATCAAAACAACAGTGCTCAAATGAATAGCTTCTGACTGGTTTATTGTTTGATCATGCTGCCTTTGCTCTACGGTTCTATTTATTTATTCTCCCATTATTGTTTTCTCTGTTTATCGCTTTTCTCCCTATCTTAATTGTTTTCTTTTCAAAAGCCTCCTGTGGACAGGTGTTGAGAACTAACATGCTTGCTAAAACACTTAAACAATGCATCTGGTTCGTTCAATGTATCTGTGATGTCCACGCCAAATAAAGTCTATTATTACTATTATTATATTGTGTTTTATTTTGAAATTGACCGGATGCTCTGTGCGTTTCCTTGTCTGACTTCCTGTCCGGGCTGTCATATTCTCTCCAGCTTGACACGTGCCTGCAGCGTACTCCGGCGAAAATAGACTCGCTGCGTATTTGAAACGGAGCAGAGCGCAGTGCCGTTGGTGGCACGCGCCGGAGACGGACGGCAGCGTGCGCTGTGTGAACACAATGATTGACTAGAGTGGAGGCTAAGTACAACGTAGTGCGCTGCGCTGATGGAATTGGGGGTTGTATGCAGCGAGTCAAATCTGGAGGGGCTGTAGGTACAAAAGGCCCCTCTGAATTTAGGAATCCAGGGACAATCCAATGGCTGGGTATGAGACAGCTCGTGGCATAATTGACTGTGAGGCCCAGCTGTGACACATGGTAAAGAAGGGCCGAAGTGTCCTGATCTGCCTGCACCCTGGTCCAGGCATAGATCAGCCAGTCATCCAGGTATGGGTGGATATGCATACAACTCGCCTGCAATGGGGCCAATGATTCCTGCATGCACTGTGTAAAGACCTGCGAGACCAGGGAAATCCCAAAAGGGAGCACCTTCAACTGATAAACCCTGCCTTCAACACAAAGCCCAGGAACTGTGCACATGAAAGTATGCGTTGTTTAAATAGATGGATGTGAACCGACTCTGCCATGTCACAGCCTGTAGCACATCTGCCGTCCTAAGCATGTGGAATGGCAACACCTTCAGAAATGTGTACAGCCAACAAACAAAAATCACAAATCTCAAATCAGAGCACAAGATAGGATGATCTGTTTTGTCTTGTAAATGTCAAAATTTCATTATGGCAATGACATCAACAGAGGGACATAAACATTATTTAAAAAACATAAATAGATGTAGAATAAAAAAAAACACACTCAAATGAAAATGATTAAGAGTTGCAAGTTTCCAAAAGCCTCAGTGAAGCATGTTTTCATTAAATAATATACAATATAAGATTACATTCTGTCTGCATTTTGCATTTTCTATTGCAGCATGGTTCAGAAAGGTAAGGGTTAAGAAATTAATGTGCAAAGTTGAACACTGTTCATCTCTGGCTGGTGATAAAGAATAATGATCAAATAAAAGCCTACAAGTAGCATAATGTGAATACATTATAATGCTTCATTTGAAAATATCTTTGTAAGTTGACTTTAAATGAGAAACAAACACTTGTCTAATGTTTACTCACTATATTAATAAGAAATTCAAGGGCACACAGTTTGCTAGATACTATCACTGCCTTATATTCTTCCCTCATACTTATGTTCACGTACAGTAGTAGTATATTGACTTTGACAAAACCCACATGATGTACATATATCTTGACTAGTAACATTTTTCAAATTAAGTGAGCTACATACACCAGAAAGAAATGAAGTGTAGATCTTTATATCTGTAGTAAAGACAGCAAGTCCAGATTATTTGAATGAAATGTAAGCATTCTGTCACAATCTTCTAACATCTCTTTATAGAATTTAAATATATACAGTCTTTATAAATACAGCGACACAACAACTACATGTATGAAAGCAAAC